CCCCTTGACCTCCTTGCTCAGGAATCGCGGGTCGATGACAGCCTGGTACACAAACTCGTCCATCCACGCATCGCTCATAACAAACCAGCCCTTGTCGCCCGCGCTCTCGCCCCAACTGTTCTGCACTCTCCACCGCACGCTCTTGCCCTGGGCGTCGAGGTGCACCGCCGTGAGCACCATGGCGTGTGTCATGGCGCTCTCGCCCGTCCTCAGCCTGCTCGCCTTGTCCATGCCCAGCGTGGACACACCGAACCCGAGCTCGTAGTCGATGAGGTCGAGGTCCATGATGCCGGACGCGGAGTTGCTGAACTTGCCCACGTCGGAGCCGAAGAAGACGGGCAGCCCCGCCTTAAGCATGGAGACGCACGCGGACTTGAGCGTCGCCATGTCGACGTTGACGTAGGTCACGCCGCGGCCGCCGACGATGTTGCCGAGCCGGTCGACGGTCATGAGCGTCAGGGGCTCGTGGCGCGGGTCGTGGACGAGGGAGACCATGCCCTCGATGACGGCGGAGGTGATGCGGAAGTCGGAGGAGTAGATGTCCTTTGCGAAGGCCGCGGGCGTCGTTGTGAGCTCGTGCGCCTTGCCGTTCTTATCGAGGTAGGTCCAGGTGAACTCCTCGCGCGGGTTCGGCGGCGGGCCGAGGGTGAGGGTGAGGATGCTCAGGATCTCGCGGACCATCATCTCCTTGGTGGAGGAGAGCGTCTGCGCCGTGGCCGAGCCGGAGCGGATCTCCTTACGCAGGATGAGGGCGTACTCGCGCAGCTTTGTCTTGACGATGGAGTTGAGGACGCCCGAGTTCATGGCGTTCCAGCTGTCCGGGTACAGCGCCTGCGGGACGAGGCCGTACTTCTGCACGAGGTTGTAGACCATGTCCCACTGCCCGCCGTCGCTGACGATGTCGCCGAGCAGGGCCTGGACGAGCCTGCCGTCGAGATCCTCGGCCGCGGTGTCGATGATCTGCTCGAGGAAGTAGTTTGACTTCTCGAGCTTGTCCCAGAAGAAGAGGTAGGACTGGGAGAGCTCGAAGGCCTCGAGGTTGTAGCGCTTCATGAGGGCAACGCGGAAGGTGTTTGTGGAGGCGAAGAGCCAGCAGCGGCCGGAGGAGCGCTGGTTTGTGATGGGACCGCCCTCGAAGGGGATCTTGACGTTGAAGATTTGCGGATCCGAGAGCTTGGTCGAGGTCGAGGTCAAGACGGTTCGCGGGTCGGCGGTGCTGAGCGCTGTGAGGGCGAGTCTGCGGAGCTTTAAGTGAGTTGAAGGCCTTTTGGATGAGACCCAGGAGTGGAAACTCACTTATTCTTTGGATCGGAGAGGAAGCGGGATTGCCATGATTGTGTCAAGTGTACGGGCAGACCCTCAGGCTCGCGGAGAAGCTTCATGCCGTTCTTCTCGTCCCCGCCTCCGTTTTCTACGTTGACCAACTCATTTTCGGTTACCTGGAATCGGCGAAGGCGCTCGAGGAGTTCTTTCTCGCTCGAAGGGTCGACGGCGGCGGTCTTTGATGGTTGGGAGCCCATGTTGGCAGGCTGATAGAATCTTTTTTTTTTTCAGATGGACACGCGAAGCTATACCTCTCAGCCACGAATATGAATAGTTTGGCCGATGATGGGGGGGGGGAAGGACCAGCTTCTGCCAGACAGCTACACAATCACGCAATCCCGCGAAGAGAGCTTGGAGGAAGAGAAGCTTGAGCCTTCCTCGGTTTCAAAGGAATGGACTAGCTCGGTATTTAAGACAAAGGCACGCGAGTCGTAAGCAACTAACCCCTCTTTCAACTCAGTTTCCCCCATTCCAGTCTTCAACACGTTCCACCTGATACCGAGAATGCCAGAGAAAGCAGGTGAGTGTCTTGTTGCACGTTAGGCGAGGTAGGGCAGGTCCTCCCATCCCCCAATCGTGCCCCCCGTGCCCCCTAGTGAGAGCTTCCCGGAACCCGGGGTAGCTAGGTTGCTTATCAGTTGGAGGTTGGTGGGATCACTCCAAACCAGCCAAACAGCGATAAGATGAGGGGTGCGCCAGCAGGGATTAGCTGCCAATGACAGCTAGTCACGCACGCCATTGATACACGAGACACTGCGCGAGTCCATCAAGGTGCCTAGGGATCGCACCCAAAGGGTCCTCACATGATGCGGTTCTTTGCGCATCGGTTGTGGTGCCGGACTTCCCAGCCATCCGCTTGGATTACGATATGGGTCTGATGGATTTGAGTGGATGCCATATGGGCGACGATGCTGTTCCAGAGACTGTTACCAGAAGATGTCGCAATAGAGTCCACTTAATTCGCTGGACTTATTACAGTTTGTGCCGACAGAGCAGTCATGGGGACGACACGCAATCCATAGAAGCGCCGATAAGAACATCGAATTGACTCTTCATTGACTTGAACCTTCTGAGAGTCTAGACCTGAACGACTCGGCTGCGGAAGAGATCTAGTATGGATCGAACCTGGAGGGATTCAGTCGGCCTACGGGACCGCACCGCCGGAATTTCGGCAAATGTGACGGGCCCACAATACCGGATGCTCCGTGTGCCGGTGCCCATGTTCCCCGGCACCGGTGCCGAAAAGATCTGAGTTCCGGAACGCCGTTCCGCTTATAGTTCGGGCTGAGGCTATTAAGATGAAATAACACACTGCCCTCGGGCGACCAGGATTTCTAACTCTTCCCAACTGGTTGAATAAGGGCTTGTCCGCACTCTTGTCAATCCATGGAGGCTGCACTCTTCAGATTCTCGATATGCCGCCAAATCTTCCTCCGCGTGCCAAATGAAACAATCTCCATCTCCTTCAGGTCATCCTGATTCATACTGCAGAGGGTTTCTCTGTTAATGGAGTGCTCTATGAAGCGGCCAACGGGAGATGCCGGCGTCGTGCATTGACTGAGCCATCATCCTCGGTGTCCACGACGCAACTTTCAAGGAATGGAAGTTCTCGTAAGTAAACATGAAGGGTGTTACTTAAGATGCTTCGGGATTCGGTGTCTCTCTTCTGTACTGCGCTCGATTCCGCGCATCGGACTCAAGATGACTGTAATGTCCAACCGGGGGCGGCGGACGGATGTTTGTCTTGTCTTCGCTAAAAAGAAAAGAGGGTAAAGACCCCCACCAGTGGCATCCAGAGAATGAGAAGGAGAAGGGCGGTAGCTGCTCCTACTGATGAGCATTGAATTTGGCGAGGGGCGATCAACGAAGCTCGTGGGCTTCTCATCCGTCAAATATGCGGCTGGCACCGAGCGCCCTCCAGTGTCGGAAGTTTCCACAACATTATCTGGCTCAAGACCTTTAAGGTCTTGAGGTGGACGTGGTGCAGGATTCTGTACAGAGCTAACAGAGGCACCGGAAAAACTACCAGAAGGAACAGTAGGGCCGGGACGTGAACGTCGCGTGATTTTGTTTGTATTGTATGATAAAAGATCACCAGAATATGGCGTCTCGAATATAGCGAAGGAGAAAGGCATCAACTCGTTGATCATGGCGCCATTGTCGATTTCAAATCCCCTGAAGGCGGCACCAGCTCAGAAGTCAATGCTCAAGCGTACGATCAGAAAGCTGTAAAAGGCCTTGAAGGTCCCGGTGCCTGGCCCTGCACCGTCTTTGCTGACCGTCAACCCGAATGGAACATCTGTTTCGAGCCTTAAGCAGAGCTCCGTATCTAGTGTCACTCAGGTCTTCACGGATAGCGGCAGTATAAGCACGCCGCCAGAAAGGTAAATTCAACCCCGGTGCCTTGTACCATGAGCATTATGAACAACGTGACCAAGTGAGTCGTTAGTCTCGCCAATCGGTGTTTCAGCTCCTTCAAAGGTTCAATTCGCTGAGGCGTCAGTTCCGCTAACCTCATCTACCCTGAACTTGCTTAACATCGAGGGGAAGAATCCAATAAACCTTTGCAATTTAACTGGGCCAACAGCTGAAAATTGCAAAAACGCTTTGGTTGTCGACGCAAGCATGAAGATCACGTTCAAGCCAGAACCTGTCGACCATAGCTCATTTGGCGTATCTAGGCAGCAAACCATCGACGCCTTCCTGCAAACGACGTCTATGCGCTACAGCCGCCTCTACATGGGCCTTTGGTTAGCCCTCACACTCCTCAGTCTCGCGACCTTCGCCTGGATTCCACCGCAGCTTGCCAAAGACGACATTCTTCTCGTCTGCAGTGAAGCGGGAGGCAAAACAGCAAAGCCCTCCGGCCCCTTCTTTGCAAAGAGCTCTCGCGACCTGCAGTCTCAGCGTCATACTGCGCAATAGAAAATGTGTTATACGGCGCAATAGAAAGAGAACAGGCGACCGAACGAGATAACCATGTTCTGTGGGGCTTTTCTTTGGGTTGGAAGGGCGCAAAAGGCGATGAAGGAGTACATTGGTGATGATCTCGGTGGAGGCTTGTATGAGGCTATTCGCAAGTATATATGTTTTGACTTTGAACGCGAGGACGACTTGGGCGACTCGAGGTTTGCGGAGGTGGTGTACAGAGAGGTTGTGGTGCCGTTAGAGAAGTGTTGCCCACATTTCTAGAGGACGGATGCATTCCTTTGAGGACACAGCAATGTCTTTTTCATGATTGGGTTTTCCTGAATGGCTTCTACGTATTTGGTAGCTGTGACAGTCTATTAACACGGCGGGCATTGACTTACATGGAAGCATGATGGATGGCAGGGAACACTTGTGGCGGCAAACGCACGTTTATGGAGACAGAGACAGGGGAGCTCTTTTGCACCGTAAGACCCAAGCTCCCACCAGCATAAACACTTTGGTGAACACGACACGATTGATTGGCACAGATGGTATGGATAATAGATCATATACAGAGCTACTTTATCTACGTAAAAGACTTGACTCCGTGGATCCTTTATCCGAAAGATTTTCGTCCAATCTCAACCCTTCCCTTCACACATTTCTCCATTACATTGACATCATCTGTATTTCGTACATGTTGCTAGATCCCAACAATCCAAGACGTAACAGTAACATAGCGCGTGGTGGCGGTGACGCTCACACGCTTACAGACGGGAGCCGTGGATGACCTTGACGTCGACGGCGAGCTCGCGGCCGGCGTCGTTGAGGACAAGGACGCGGACGGAGCCACGGCCGGACTCAAAGGCGCTGTTGAGGCGGGACCAGAGGTTGGACTGGTCAATGACGGGCAGGTTGGGCTTGACGTCGCCGGTCTCGGTCATGGCGGTGACGTGGCCGTCAGAGAGGTCGAGGACGCGGTACTGCTTGAAGATGGGGCCGAGCATGGTCTGGACAACGACGCTGGGGGAGGGGTGGGCGATGAAGGAGGACTCCTCGTGAAGCTGCTTGGTGAAGAGGTCGACACCGAGGTAGCGGTACTGGCCGGTGGCGGCGGAGGTGGAGATCTTGATGACCTGGCAGGGGCGGCCCTGGAGGATCAGGAAGTCACCGAGGCGGATGTGGTGGCAGGGGATGGTGACGGTGTTGGGGAGGAGAGGGGCACCGGTGTTGCCGGGGGACGAAGGGCGGGAAGCACCACGGATCTCGGCGATCTCGTAGCCGGTGGAGCTGCCTTTATGCGGGTGAGCAATCTTGTCAGCCAGCTTGTGAAGACCCTGGCGGAAAGAGTGATAATGACCTGGTGCGGCAAACACCTGTTCAGTTCTTGGACCATAGTGGGGGAGAGCACACTGCGCAAACCGAAACACACTGAAGCCAAGAAAGCATCGCAAGGGGGGTCATCACACCAGGGCCTTTGGGGGTTTTGAAGCCCGGGTGGGATGGGGGAGTAGTAACATACCTTGCTCGTCGTAGTAACCCATCTTGTCGGACTTGTGCTGGGGGGCAGACACGTGGGAGGGTTCGATAGTCTCTTCGGTGACCTTGATGGTCTCCTTGAATTCCTGGGGGCGAGGGCGCTCGGAGTCGACGGTGTACTCGTCGACGTGGGAAGCGGCGGGGCGGTGGTGGTGGTGGTGGTGAGACGGGAAGTGGGAGGAGAGGTGAGAGTGGTGGTCGGAGTGGTGGTGGTGAGAGTGGTGGGAGTGGTGAGAGGAGTGGTCGGACTTGTGGGAGTGACCCGAGACCTGAGAAGAACCGGAGGAGTGGTGAGAGTGAGCGGGCAAAGCCAAGGGACGTTGCTCGATGGTGACCTCTTCGCGGTAGTAGCTGGGCTGAGCGCGTTGACGGTACTGGCGTTCGATTCTATCAATCGGGTTTACCAGGTGCTCGTGGTGACGGTGGTCGACTTGGACACGAGTGTCGTTGTTGAACTCGTTGGTGGTGTTGTGGAAGTGTTGGTGGACAGGGCTGGAGAGAAGGAAAAGAGAAGAAAGGTCAGTCGAATGTTTGGATGGGATAGATGAGTGAGATAGGTGAGTTGGGGGGGAAGAGCTTGATGGGGAAGCTTTTTTGATCCAGTTGACATGTTTGATGTGACATGTTGTTACTTGGCCAACTGCGGACTAGGGTCCCGGGAGGAGGCGCCCAGGGTCCATGGTCGGCGGCTCGTAATGGACAAGGGTAGCAGAGGAAATTTGGTGAAATACCGGGGCCCGAGCTGAGGCGGTCCCGCGGTTGGGGACAGGGGAGGAGGGTCGGAAGAGGCAGAGAGAGGAGGGCCAAGGGGAGGGGGGATGGGGAGGCGGTGACCGCGGGTGGGTTTGTGGTGTTTGGGGGTGTGTGTGGAAGAAAACAAACGGGCTGGGTGGGATGGATACCGAGAGAGAGTGTGAGAGACAGAGAGACAGTCCAAGAGGTGAGGAAGAGAGAGAGACCGTTGTTTCTCCAGATGTCCGGACCCCCCATCAATTGGAGGGCCCTTTTCTCTGGAAGCTCAAGGCCAACTCTCTCCGTCCTTTTTTGCCTCTCCTTCTCTCTCTCTCTCTCTCGAGCTCAATTTCTCTCTCGGGAGGTGCTTTGAGATTGCTTGCTGGACACAAGGAAACGGGGGACAAAAGACACATACCGGAACTCCTCAACGTAGGTGTGGGACTCGACCTTGGGACCGGGACCGGGACGGTGGTAGTGTTCTTCGATACGGACCTCTTCGGTGACGCGGTGGTCCTTCCTGGGAGGGGGAAGTTGTTCTTGAGGGAACGAAGAGACGTGACCTTCCCGTCCGGGCTTGTGAGGCTTCTCGGGGAGTTTGATCTCAAGCTCTTCGTGGGTAGTGGTTACTGTCTGGGTCTGGGTCTGGGTTTGTGTCTCGCTCTCCTTGTAGGTGGAGGGGAAGACGCTGAAGGGGACGGGAATGCGCGCTTCAAAATCCAGATTGGCGGCCTTTTGGGCGCAACGAGGAGAATCTTCTAAGCGTTCCCGGTAGAAGGAAGGCAAAGAAGAGTATCCTCTTGCTTCGTTTTCCTAAAAAAACAAAGGAGAAGGGGAAAGTGGGAAGAAGCCGGTCTTTGGTTGACTCGCGCTTCTTTTGCTTTCTGATCTTCTGCTTTGGATTTGGAGGAAGAAGTCGGTGATTCTGCGCGAGGGAAGCGTTGGGCAGAAAGATGGCTTGAAGCTTTGGTGATGGATGGCGAGAGAGGGAAGAAGGAGGGAGAAGAGGGTCAGGCGAGATGTGCGATGCGGATTGGGTTTTGAAGACGGGGGGCTGGGGGAGATGGTTGGATGGATCAGAAGTGTGAGATGCAGAAGACCGAGGGCTGCTGAGCCTGTGAGGTTGCCGGGGCAAGCAAGGGTGGTGTGTCTCGAGTCTCGTATGTGTGTGTGTGAGTGCGAGTGTGAGTGAGTATGGACGAGCGTGTGTACCGCTGCCGTGCGTGCGCGTGTGTGTTTGACTTGACGGTTCGGAGGCGAGGTATTCGACAAGGAAGCTGGACCGAGTGAAGCACGGAGTGATATTGAACGAGGCTTTGGTGAGAGTAGATGTGGGACTGGCGGCAGAAAAGTGCGATATGAGTGGTTGGAGCGGATGGATGGATGCTGGATATATGGAGCTGGGTCTGGCTTGATGTCGACTTGTACTTTATTTTTTTTTCCTTCCTGGAACCGACGACAGGAAGTTGGCTGCTAGTACGAAGGTCCGTCCGGGAGTTTGATAGACGGAGCCAAGTCCTGACTGGTGGTGACTGGCGTCTGTCTGTGGGATGACCAGGACCTGGCTAGCACTTAGTGTACATTCGCGCAGCAATTAGCAGACAGACGACATCCAATGTGTCGGTGGGAAGTACCCCCAAGATACGGATACACGCAGTACCTTAGTTGGTAGTGTCGTATGGCGTGTGCGTGCGCCGCCGCGAGTGTCAAGTCAAGACTCTCTCGCTCAATCAATGATGGAAGGCCACGGGCGGGAGCGAGATGAGAACAGATTGAACCAGCCTTCCCAAGGGTGGTTTGGCTGGGGATTGAATCGCTCGATGGCTGCCGAGGGTGCGTGTGTTGTGGGCAAATGTTTACATTGGCTCCCGTCACTTGCAGCTGTGGATATTCCATTGTTTATTCCCGCCCAATTGGGATTAGCCGGCAGCACCAGAGCGGGGCCGACCGGGGTGGAGCTCTGCAGCTCGAAGCTTTGACGCCCTGGCACGCCTGGGACACCCTGCAGGAGCTGCCTTGGATGCCTTCACTCACACTGAGGATTGAGGATGGTGGCAGCCTTGCAAATGAGGTTTCGGCAGGTACGAGCTCCCAGGACCCACCTCGGTTGCGACCTTGGGCTGGATCGATTCCTACCTCAGCAGTACGAATACCTACCTACCTTGCTACCTTACCTGGTACGGAGCACGAGGTACCAGCGTACCAAGGAGTTCCCTCCGTGGCCTTCGTCTCACCTTGTTTGTGTGGCCTCTGATCCTCGCCATGCTGAGTCGGCCTCACATCTCACTCCCGCTTCCAGTCTCACCAGCAGCACCAGCTCCGGCCACCGTGGAAACAGCGCCTAAACCAATTGACGGCCCAACGTTGGTCGTACGGTGCCAATTGGCCCAACGGAGCATCGTCATGCACTTGCGATCATTGCGAGGCATCTTTGCAGCCGTCTTCATGCAAGATGCTGCCGCCACGACTGCCACTACCGGACGACTTTGCACGGAGGACGCGGGCGGCGACGGGAGGCGTCGGGCTGCTTGCTCAGACAGAGCTTTCCACGGAGCTTGCCATGAGGTGCCCATGGGCATGAGGTGCTTGCCTCCTCCCAGTCCCGACCATTGCAACCAAGCCTCCAAGGTCCCCTACAGATCCACTGTCAACAAACCATCGGGAATCAGAATCAGGATCACTTGCTGCTCCCTCTCCACCTCCCAGCCGCTTGCGTTGCGTTGCGCAAGCTCCGACAGTGGAGTTGTCCAGCATTGATTGCCCTGGCGAACTGCTGGAGTCCCGCTCCAGGTCCCGCTTCAACCTCTTGGAGTTCTCAAAGCTGGATGCCGGAGGCTGGAAGCTGGCCTGACCGGCTGACCATCGTTCTCCTCGGCTGTTTCTGGGTCCTTCCCTCCACTGAAGATTGCAGGCCGTATCGTTCACCAGCAACAGATTGCAATCAATTTTGGTCGCAGAACGGCCCCAACCTTCGCAAAACCTGGCATCTGGGCCATCTGTTGGCCCTCTGTCCCTGCTTGAGTCCTTGACAAGAAATCGAGCAGCACTGGCACGGAGCAGCCAACGCAACAAACCGGGACCTTGGACAAAAATAGGGGACCCCCGGATTCCCACCGCGAGTCGCCGAGACTCGAGACTGGCCCAGAAGCTCAGTACGTCGGGAACCTACGAATCATTCCATGTCCCACCGCCTCGCTCGCTACGATCAAGTCGAATGCCGTGATGGCCGCTACTGCGCGACCGGCCACCAATCAGCAGCCGGCTGTCCTTTCGTGTGTTCGATCTGGTCAGAGACATGGGGACAGAGACACAGGCTACAGCGAGAGACAGGGACGGACGCTAGCTAGGCACGATGAGAAGCCGCGGTCCAGTGTCTCCAGCTGCAACGTCCAGTGCTGCAATTGCGCACTGAATGAGCTGATGGCCGCCTGTCACATTTGGCAGTCTGTTGTTGATGATCCTGACACACTCGATACATCAAAACAACAACCGGACTAGGTGGCTGGGTTTGAAGATCATCGTTTCGACCACGGCCCAAATTGCCCGCTATCGACTGTCTGCATGGCCCCAATTGCCTGACCGCGGCAGCCCGCAAACTCAATTGGCCAGCTCCCAAAGCTTCCCCAACCACCCTCAGCTTCACCCGCCCCCCGACCCTCTCTTTCAGGCCGTCGCCTGCTGATGAGGCCCTGCTGAGAATCAGCAACGGCCGCCCTCGACTACCAATACCGGTCCTGATTTCTGGGCCATCAGCGTCGTGGAATCCCACCATTGGACTGTCGGTCTGCAACCACCGCACAACTTATGCACGTTGACGGTCGCACATGCAAAACGAGGCTGGCTGGCAACTTGCTTTTTCTGTCCCATCTCCCAGGCCTAGCCCAGAGGTTGAAGGCGCAGACGCCGCAGAGATGCAAGAGAGACGCGACGCAAGACTTGGAGCTACCGTACGGATCCTGCCCGCAGCGCCCGAGTGGGGGTCTCATCAAGCCAATGCATGGATGGAGCTCGACCGCCGGCTTCCCCATTTCCCCTGAATCGAATGAGAAGACCTGGACTCTGGAGAGACTTCTCCGCTGCAGGCCTGTCTCCCACAGATGGTTGTTGATCTCTGGGGGAGGTTGGAGATGTTGATAACCTGACGATGTCCCTGGACCTGGCTTTGTTCCAATTGATCTGGGTTTTTGCTCCAGACCCTCGATTGTTCCCAGCCACGCGGTCAACACCAGACCAGACGAACTTTTTTTTTTCTCGGCACGCACGGGTGCTCCCTTGACACACCCCTGGTTTTCTGGTTGCCCGGACGACGAGAAATTCCCTGGTCCCCGCTCTAGCCGTATGGGGAAGCCACATGTTCGACGCTGGACGATCCTCACCGTAAACCTTCGCAGCAGCGCCGACACATTGGGCAAATTTTGGTCTGCTATCTGATCACATGAAGGCCTTCGAAAATGCGCAAATTTCCACTGATTGTTGTTGTCAGTACGACGATGCGGTAGCGTTTCGAGACGAGCGACTATCGATGGCCAAGGAGGACTCGAGTTGACATGGATCCCATTCCACGAGACCTGAGGACAGAGGCGAGACACTCATGGACGTACGGTCAGACACCGCCACTTGCTCGACCTCCACGGTGATGCGCTGGCCGATGGAGATGGCGGCGCGAATCCAGCGGCGGTCTCGCGACGACGTGTCTATTGGGGCTCCGACGATGCATTCGAACTGCGGCGACAGCTGTACAGTGCTTGTCTGTAGCAGCGCGACAGAGGGCCGAATGCTAGGCGAGAGCCAAATTCCGTTCAATCCAGTTCAGCATGGCCTGGCCTACTCATCTGTCAGTGGTGAATATATCACAGGAGTGGCCTTAGACGAAGGGAATGCCTCATTCTTGGCATTGCCGATGTCTAGCTCTGAAAAAAGACGATCCCACGATGGAGAGGGCCTCCTACCATAGTTTCGATACTTGCGCTCAGTGAAACGGTTCTCTTAAGAAGCCGTGTCTCGTCGACCCCGATTGAGATGTCCCCTCGGCATGCGTAGACTACTTGACGTTCAACCAAAGCCTAGCGGTGACAAAGACACGGCCCTTGGATTAGGCGCCGCTGTCATCGTTCCCGTCTGTCAAACTAGTTTGCAAGTTAGAATACGCCATACCGCGGCCTTGTCTGAGGCCAAAGTTTAGACCTCTTTGCCTTTGTTAGCAGAGCTGTCAGCCCTTAAACCTCTTGAAGCTCGGTCAGCATCAGCTTGTCAGCTTTAGTAGACACTGGGTGACTGGCCACCGAGCTATGGAGCTTGAAGTGTGGCGCCTAGTTCGGTCTGCGTCATAGAGTCTGGAAAGGCAGACGTGAGATCTGAGTCAACAAAGTCATAGAATTGATGCAAACCATGCAAAACATGACCAGTATTTAGTGAATTGCATTGGCACTCCCATTATTGCAAGCCTCGGTGTCCATCAAAGGGCATCAAAGGAGGAAGCATCGAAGGCACGTGACGTCATTGTGGCGTTCAATCTTGCAAAGGCGGCTCTTCAGCCACAGTTGCCCCGCGATTATTCAATCACCTCAGAATCTGCCCCTCGTCGTCGTCGATCGCCGCAGTCGGCACACATCTACACCGAAAGCTGCCGCGAAACACCCGGCGCAAACCTTCTACTACTCTGATATAGACTGCCTGAGACTATACAACCGTGATCATGAAGCAACGGTTCTCCTCCATCGACGTCAAGGTAATCGCCCATGAGCTCCAGGAGAACCTGGTCAGCTTGCGCCTGGCCAACGTCTACGATCTCTCCTCCAAGATCCTACTGCTCAAGTTTGCCAAGCCGGACAACAAGAAGCAGCTCATAATCGATTCGGGTTTCCGATGCCACCTCACAGACTTTACGCGCACGACCGCCGCGGCGCCCTCTGCCTTCGTCACGCGATTGCGCAAGTTTCTCAAGACGAGGCGTTTGACCAAGGTCTCCCAGATCGGAACCGACAGAATTCTAGAGTTCCAGTTCAGCGATGGCCAGTACCGTCTTTTCCTCGAGTTCTTTGCTGTAAGTCACCACCACCACCACCAATGTTGCCTTCACAATGCTGATTACTAATTGCGCGCAGAGCGGGAACGTGATCTTGACGGACGCCGATCTCAAGATTCTTACACTACTACGAAATGTCTCCGAGGGTGAAGGTCAGGAACCTCAAAGAGTTGGACTGGAATACTCGCTCGAAAACCGACAAAACTTCAACGGCGTCCCCGACCTCACAAAGGAGAGAATACGAGATGCGCTCAAGGCCTCGGTTGAGAAGAGCGCCGCGGCCGCTGCGGCAGGCAAGAAGAGCAAGTCGAAGCCAGGAGACGAGTTGAGGAGAAGTTTGGCTACGACAATCACCGAGCTGCCTCCAATCTTGGTGGACCACTCCTTCAAAACCACCGGCTTTGACGGTAGCAAGAAGCCAGCTGAGATTCTGGACAATGAGACCCTGCTGGACGATCTTCTGGTCGCCCTTACAGAGGCACGTAGCATAGTCAAGGACGCCACCAGCTCTGCTACTGCTAAGGGCTACATATTTGCGAAGTATAGGAACCAACCGGACGAGACACCGGCAGAGGAGGGGCAAACGAAGAGATCAGACCTCCTTTACGAAGATTTCCATCCTTTCCTACCAAACAAGTTTGCGAACGACCCCACGATCAAAGTCCTCGAGTTTGACGGCTTCAACAAGACCGTTGACGAATTCTTCTCATCCTTGGAGGGCCAGAAGCTTGAGTCTAAACTTTCAGAACGAGAGGCGGCAGCCAAAAGGAAGCTTGAGGCGGCACGGAATGATCAGGCAAAGCGCATTGAGGGTCTTCAGGAGGTGCAGTCACTCAATGTACAGAAGGCCACGGCTATCGAGGCGAACGTGGAGCGTGTGCAAGAGGCAATGGACGCCGTTAATGGTCTACTTCAACAAGGAATGGACTGGATCGACATCAGCAAGCTCATCGAGCGCGAACAGAAGCGCGGCAACCCCGTTGCCGAGATTATCAAGCTACCCCTGAACCTCGCAGACAACACCATTACTTTGTTGCTTGGCGAGGAGGAGGATATTGAGGACGAAGATTCGAACTACGAGACCGACTCGGATGCATCGGACAGCGAAGATGAGGCAGCGAGCAATAAGCAGAAAACAGCAAAGCATTTGGAGGTGGATGTTAACATTGGATTGACGCCCTACGCCAACGCAAGAGAGTACTACGAGCAGAAGCGGTCTGCTGCCAAGAAAGAGGAGAA